CTGGAGAACTGCACCCACTTACTTAAGAGAGTCCAGTCAGGAGGTGGCACAATAAGGGTCACACCCAGGCTGCACAGGTGTGGAACTCAGCAGCCTAACCACTGTGCTGCCTTTGGGCTCCGCTAATTTATATGACTGGTCAAAGCACACCCAGCGGATCTTGATTTCGGAAATTTCAGGCAACTCGGGCAGTTTTGCTTGGCCCCCAGCCAGAGCACTCCCAGACCAGGGTCTTCTGATGGACACCAGAGGATCCTCCTGCCATGCCAAGGCCCTCCTCTCCTTGCCCTAGGTAAGTCCAGAACCCTGTCCCAATTCTTGTCCTTGCAGGACTTGAGTCCCGCCCAGCGCTTGCCGGCAAAGCCATCCCGGCTTTGATGACCTAGATGCCTGCCTGGGAGCTCTGCTTCCCCAAGGTCTGGCCTGAAAGGAGCGGAGCGCTCTCCTTGGACCCCAAACCTGGGCTACCATCTTCGGCTTACCTCTGGAAGGCCCCACTGACCAAGGAGAGGGTGCTTACTAGGTAGTGGAGGGGGGGCGGGGCGGTCACAGAGCTGATCTGTGACAGCGGGCAGGCCCCAGGGTGGTGGTGAGAATATCCTGGGCAGTGGCCAATCAGAGTAAATGCTGGCCAAACACAACCAATGAGGCCATACTGCTGCATACTTGTTAAAGATTAGCCTCATCAGGCTTCTGCCCAAGTCAATGACTAATTCCAGGTCCCACACGGTCAGTATCTAAAATCAGTGCTCATATAAGGGCATATAACGTCCTGGCTCTCAGAGCCTTCCCTCCTGACCCTTCCCAGCTTCTCTCTGAAGAGGAATCAAAAGCCTTGGCCTTAAGAAAACGGACACTGAGGTCTTGTCCCCGCGAGTGCAACTGTAGTTACTAAACAACGCAGCCCTGTTTTCTAATCCTAGGCACACACGAGATGCCTGGATCCTGGTGGTCCTTCCTTGTCCTCTCCCAAAGCCAAAGTGACTCCCCTCGAGCCCTAGGGCTCTCCAGGGACACACGCAGGAGCCAGCGAACCGCTGAGACGCATAACAACCCCACAGCTTCCCCTTCCTCCCTCCGAAAGCGTCCCGCAGCCCTTGCTCCTCCTCTTCCGGTTCCAGCGATTGGGCCTCCGCGGGCGGGAGGAGGGGCGTGGGGGAGGAGGGGAGGGGAAAGTCTGGGGGAGGCGGGGCCTGGAGGGCCGGGGCAGGGCCATTCGGACCCGGAGGGGCGGGGCGGGGCGGGGCGGGAGCAGTCGGACCCGGAGGGGCGGGGCGGGGCGGGGCGGGGCGGGGCGGGGCTTCGCTGGACAGCCTGAAACCTGGTGCACTCCGCAGAGCGGCTGTCCACCATCCCAGCACCCCGAGCTCTGGACCAACCTGACTTCACTCCAGGCAGTTCCTACACCGAATACCGCTTCATCCTGTCTACCCGGGCCGGAGGTCCCAGGGTGGTGGCGCAAGGTCTGGGGCATCAATAAGCCATCCTTCCTTGCAGAGATCAGAGAGATCCTCGCCCTCCAGCCCGCTTCGCCTGAAACTTCCGGCAATAGAGCCTCCTTAATGTTTAAAGAAAACAAGGACAAAACACTGGCAACTCAACGTGTCCAATGTGGAACAGCTAAGCTGCTGGGAGGGCATCTGGGCAAGGCTAGTGAACAGGGAGTCCATGCATCTTAGAGTCGGGGTGCGTGCTTTTCACAGAGGCTCTGCCACGGTCCCTTCTGACTTTGCAGTCTGAGAGCTCTGGCTTCATTTCCCTTGCCAGCTTTGAACTACCTAAGTGAACTAGTTGCTTAACTTCTCTGAAGCTCAGTTTTCTTATCAATATTTACCTGCCCAGGTTGCTGTGAGGACTAAGTAAAGTAATGCACGTGCAGTGCCTAGCACAGTCTCTGGTGCATAGCAGGATTTCACAAATGCTAATTCCTCCTTTCCCCCAAAAAGGAAGGGATTGCTAGATCTCGTTTTTCTCTGCCTCATAGTTTTTCAGGGGAGTCCACCTCTCCTTGGGGGCTTAGGCTATGCTGATGTCATCTTTGCCTGGTTGTCGAGAAGAGATCCAGAAACAGGCTTGGGGAATGTTGGAGCGGGAAGGCTTGTCCAAATGGACTTCCTTATTGCGCAGCCCTGGAAGGTCAGGGCCTGGCTCCCACAGCAGGTAGTGGGGAGGGAGGTATTAGGATTCAGCCTTCCCACTTGAGGACTAGCATCATGGTCCAGGACTGAAAACTTCCACTCTTCCTGCCCACATTATACAAACGACCTTAGCTCCTGAGACATTGGAGAAGCAGCCCAAACCCCGGAGAACAAAGAAGAAAGGCCGTTGGTCCCTGCAGTCACCACTCCCTTTTAGAAGCTTGGCAATATCGCCAAGTGCTTTTGACCTTCACTGTTGTGTGACCCAGCTCTGTGAACCTTATCCACCCTCACATCACAATCAAATTGCTCTCTCATTTTATGGGCCAGGAGCTGAGCCCAGAGAGGCCATGCAACTCTAGTTTGGCCCATTTTGGTTTGTTGGGATCAATATTTGCACTCCCTGCACGTTTCTCCTGGGCAATATCCAAATGTCTGGCATATCCAGGGGACATGAGTCAAGCCCACTTACAGAGTTTCTATCTCTATCTCGATCCATCTGTCTCTTGCCTCTCTCCTCTCTCTCTCTGCATGAGCCAAACTCACTCAACAGGCTCTGTCTTCCCCTGCTTCCCCCATGCACAGGGGTTGGGGGAGTGGGTCCTAGCACACCATCTCTCTCTGAGGAAGAATCTCTCACAAATACCCTTTCAAAAGCTTCTCTCTAATCCCTCTTACTTGGGAGAGGTCTAGAGATTGGGGTGATGTCCTCGGGGAGAGACATCAGTCACATATTCCACGAGAAGGTAACTTCCCCTCCCTGCACCTTACCCGAACCGCCCCGTAATTCACTGCAGCTCATCACAGTGCCCTAGCCAGTGAGGCTGATGAGGGACCATGAAACCTTAAGTGACCCTCAGACACCAGGTCTGTAGAAGACCTGACTGAAGACACTGCTGTCCCGTGAGCTTTTACAAACATGAGGGCTCCTTCTGTCTTGGCCAGAGTGCTGAGTTCCAAAAGCGCCCTCTTTTCAGCCTTTAAAGCATCCTTGACTTTTTCCTCTCGGCAAACTACTCATGGAATTTCTGATTGCTCCCTTGCCTGGCTAGTTAATGACCTCAGCTCTGACATTTTTTAGCCCTGTTGGTGTTTGTTTTAGCCTTGGACATCTACTATGTTTGTGTTTCAGGCAAAACTAACAGATTCCCATGGTCGTATCCTGTTAGAACATGATTCAGAAAAAATAGTGTTTCTGTTTCCCTTGACAGCCAAGGATTAGAAAGTTGAAATGCTCTCTCAAATCTCACAAAACCCAGACTGTGTACCGGGCTTGTGTGATTGGTGGTGTTCAAGCAGCGCCAGCTTCAGCAGCACGGGATCTGTGGATTTGCAAAAGGCCCCGCGCTCGCAAATGCCCTGTCCCTGATTCGATACTGTCCTGAAATTCAAACGAGGGACCTCATTTTCCTTTGTAGTAGGGCCTCATAAATTGTGTAGCTGGTGCTAGGTGCTGGGTGCTGGGGGGACACCTGTGGGACAACTCCTGCCCTCCAGGACTTTACAATCTTGGGCAGGTGGGTGAATAGTTCATTTATATTCAGTGTACCAAAAGCTTCAGCTTCAAAGAATTAAACACACAGGTGGAGTATTTCACCCACAAGGATTAGTGAGTATTAGCTGCTGATGGAGGGTTTGGGGCTGGGGGAGGTGAATGGGGGGGGAGGGATGGGTAAGAAGGGTTTCAAGGTAGAATGTGGAAAGCGTAAAGCCCCAGAGGAAAGACAGAGCATGGAATCAATCTGTCATCAGGAAGCTGTAAATAGTTTAGTCAGGCTAGAGCTGAGGATTGTCCTTGGAGAAAGGCAAAGGATGGACAGGAGAGTGGGCTAAATTAGGAAGTGTCTTGTATTAGCCTGCTCAGACTGCCATAATCAAATACGGCAGACTGGGTGGCCTATACAACAGACATTTCTCACAGTTCTGGAGGCTTTAAGTCAGAGATCAAGATGTCAGCAGGGCAGGTTTCTCCTGAGGCCTCTCTCCGTGGCTTGCGGATGGCCACCTTCTCACCGTGGCATTTTCTCTGAGCTTGTTTGCCCTAGTATCTCTTCTTTTTTTTTTTTAAAAAGACTTCGTCAGACAGAGAGCGAGAGCACAAGCAGGGGGAGCGGCAGACAGAGGGAGAGGGAGAAGCAGACTCCCCACTGAGCAATGAGCCAGATGCGGGACTCGATCCCAGGACCCTGGGATCATGACCTGAGTTGAAGGCAGACACTTAACCCACTGAGCCACCCAGGCCCTCTTCTTTTTATAAGGAGATTAGGATCATACCCTTCTGACCGCATTTAAGTTTAATTACTTCCTTAAAGGCTCTATGTCTCAACATAATCACATTCTGAGGTACTGGGGAGGGGGGTGTGGGCATTGACATGTACATTTGGAGGGAACACAACCCAGTTCCTTACTGGTTAGCTCTATGCGGGCGTTTAATCTTTATCTTAAAAGTCGTGTGGGGCGCCTGGGTGGCTCAGTTGGTTGGGCGACTGCCTTCGGCTCAGGTCATGATCCTGGAGTCCCGGGATCGAGGCCCGCGTCGGGCTCCCTGCTCGGCGGGGAGTCTGCCTCTCCCTCTGACTCTCCCCCTCTCATGCTCTCTCTCTATCATTATCTCTCTCAATAAATAAATAAAAAAAAATCTTAAAGAAAAAAAAAAAAGTGTGAAACCACTCCTCCTCATCCACACAACCCTAGGGAATATATGAGCAAAGTATATGAAGTCAGCTCACAGAACAGGAAATAAAGCTTTGAAAAATAATTTTTAAAAAAAAGCTGGAAATGAACCTTATTCATGAAAAGAGGAAGATACATGTTTGACTGACATTCTTATTAAAATTTATTCTAAAAGCCAAGAATAAAATATTTTAAAGCTGTTTATGTAGATTTATTTCAGTTTCAATACCGTGTCACTCAGAATTACACATGTGGTTATATCCTGGAGTTCTTCCTTTGAATTATGTGCAGATCACAGGATTAGATTTTCCTAGTTGAAACATTAAATAATATTGAAACACAGAGAGTAAAAACTGGAAGTTTTCCTCCCATTCCCCCTCAAAACCTTTCCCAGAGATAACCTCTGTTAAAGGTGAAGGCTTAGCCTTTTAAACCTTTTCCCAGAGACTCACATATGTGAATTTACGTGTAGACATACAGGGTCTGTTCACATAAATGCGTGCATCATGTAGGCACGTTGTACTGAAAGCTGTATTTTTCACTTAATTTGTTTTCATGACCTTTTTCAGGAACTGCATATAGACCCTTCACAATTTAAAAAAATGTTCTGCAGAGTATTGCATAATATAAATGAATTAAATTCTTCTATTGCGGAAAAAATAAAATTCAGTTAAATTGTAAGGCACCCAGTCGGTGTCCCTGAGAAGCGGAGAACTGCTTGGTGTGGAAAAACCCACACAACTGGGGTCAAAAGTATTTAGTAGGAGGAGGGAGAAATGATGTTTCTCTTTAGTATGTACTAAACTTCGTTTGCTTATATGCCACCCATAACCAAATGAGGGAAAAATGCTCTCACTACAATTATTATAATGACAATAAAACTTAGAAATACCATAACAAGAAAAACAAAACTATGTCTCTCTCTCTCTGTCTATATATATATACATAAATATATATAGAGAGAGGGAGATAAAAAAGATTTGAATAAATGGAGACTCCTCACATTTCCTGAACAAGACTAAACCCTGTAAATAGATTAATTTATCCCCAAATTTATATGTTTAATGTCACACTAATCCCTCCAAAAAATACCAAAGTTAAAAACATTACTTTGAGTATTGCAAAATTATTCTGATGTTCACCTTGAAGAATGAAGATGAGAAAATCACCGTGAACACTAGGGAAAAACAGATTATTTACAATTAATGTTGAGAAGTTGGCCATTTGTAAATAAATACAATTATATTTTCTCCTGAATGTCAACAACACAGAAACAAATTTCAGATGGATTAAATAGTTAAATCAATTAAAAACATAACAGTTTAGAAGAAAATATAGGTGCCGTGCTGGCTTCAATGGGAAAGTATTTCTAAGAATTGAAAGCAGTGTCAAAAATCACTACGGAAGAAAACCTGGGATAAAAAAACTGTTCATTAATAAAACATCATAGCAAAATTTATGAAAAGTTTCTCACCAATAAAAAGAAATACAGTAGGTGTGTATCCTTGTATAATATATACTGCAGAGATTTTTAATCTACATAAGTAAAACTTATAAGTTGTTAAACTAGATATACATATACACATATATATGTATTTTTTACTCAGTATCATCTATCCGTAAGACTGAATGTACACCTACTTTGTACTTTAGTCTAACTCTTACATAGTGGCAAAAGTATGTGCACACCTTCATTATTCCCATTGAGATGGACACTTAGGTAGCTTCCAATTCATTGCCAACATAAAAGAAGTTGCAGTGAACCCCCTCGTGCCCGTACCTCTGGGGACCTGTGCAATGACAGCACTGGGCCACACACCCCGAAATGAGCTGCTGGAGCCCAGAGCAGACACCAATTGAGTTCACTGCCAGATTGCTTCCTATCTGAGCCATATTGGTTCTTGTTCCCACGAGTGCTCCTAAATTTCCCTACTTTCTGGCTGATGCTGCACGGTGTCCAACTTCCTGACACCAATCCGATGGATGTTGAGCATAGAATCTCATGGTATTTTATTTGTATTTTTCTGATTACTAACTGACTGCCTTGTTCTCTTTGATTTGCAGGAGTTCTTTGTATACCCTAGTGTTAATTCCTTACTGATTTTTTATAATATTTTCTTTCAGTCTGGTTGTGGATTCCATTCATGGAATGGATTTGATATATATATGCCAGCTGTATAATTTTTCACCTTATCACTTGTTTAGATATTATTTTTTTTATCTATTATCAACATCCTTTTGCAATTCAAAAGCAATTATAGGTGTTGAGACAACTGATATCCCATACGCAAAAAAATTAAGTTGGACCCCTACCTCACATCATATACATCAAAATGGATTAACGTTCTAAATATAAGAGCTAAAATCATAAAAGTCTTATGAAAAAAATAGTTGTAAATTTTCGTGACTTTGGATTTGGCAAAGGATTCTTACATATGATACCATAAGTGAGTAACAAAAGAAAAAGTAGATAAACTGGACTTCACTGAAATTAAAAACCTTTGTGGATCAAAGGACATTATCAAGAAAGGGAAAATATAACCTAAGCAATGGGAGAGAATATTTGCAAACCATGTATCTGATAAGGGTCTTGTATCCAGTATATATAAATAACTCCTACAACTTCACAACAAAAAGACAACCCAATGAAAAAATGAACAAAGCATTTGAATAGACTTATCTCCAAAGAAGATATGCAAATGACCAGTAAGCACATAAAAAGATGCTCAACACTATTAGTCATAGGAAAATGCAAATAAAACACACAATGAGATTTCACTTCCTACCCACTTAGAGACGCCATCATTTTTCTATAAAAAGAGGGGTGGGAAATAACAAGTGTTCATAAGGATATGAAGAAACTGGAACCCTTATACAACAGCTATCCAAACAAATACATGTATGTGCATGTTTGTAGAAGGATTACTCATAAATAGCAAAAAGATGGAAACAAATCAAATGTCCACCAATGAATGAGTGGATAAACAAATCTTATGCTACAGCTATATGGTGGAATATTATTCAATCATAAAAAGAGATGAAGCACATGCCACAACATGAATGAACGTGTCATGCTGAGTAAAAGCCAAAAACAAAAGGTCGCATGTTATATAATTCATTTATATAAACTATCCAGAGTAGGTAAATCCATAGAGGTAGAAAGCAGATTGGCAGTTGCCAGGAGTTGGATTGGGGGTGGGGGGAGTAACTGCACAGGGTTTTCCTTTGGGGTGATGAACATTTTTTGGAACTAGATAAAGGTGGTGGTTGCACAACATTTTTTTTTTTTTTGGTTGCACAACATTTTTTTTTTTTAAAGATTTTATTTATTTATTTGAGACAGAGAGAATGAGAGAGAGAGAGAGAGCACATGAGAAGGGGGAGGGTCAGAGGGAGAAGCAGACTCCCCGCCGAGCAGGGAGCCCGACACAGGACTCGATCCCGGGACTCCAGGACCATGACCCGAGCCGGAGGCAGTCGCTTAACCAACTGAGCCACCCAGGCGCCCGGTTGCACAACATTTTTAATGTACTAAGACCACTGCATTGTTCGCTTTAAAATGGTTAACTTTATGCTATGTGAATTTCACCTCAATAACAAATTCTTTAAAAAGGCCCCAATAATGTCACTGATAGCTAATCACTTTTTTAAAAAATTACAGAGCTCATCTACGATCAAATTACTTACCACTGGACTGTACACGGCACATAGACATGTAAAATATAGTCCCACCCCCTGAGGAATTTAAGGTCTAGTTGGAGAACACAGATGATTAATAAATAAATCAACCGCCATAAGAGAAATGCCCTCCCTCAGTATGCAATGAAGAGTTCAAAGATGCACACCTGCTGATGTAGAAAAGGAAAATTTTCCTGGAGATGACATTGGAAATGAACTTTTAAGAGTTGAGCGGAATTTTTGTTAGAGTTGGAGGTGAAGAAAATACAAGAACAGAAGGAAAGGGGATCCCTATGAGGAGATCACATGATAAGTTTAAGGACATGACCTCGTCCAACCTGTCATAAAAGCTACTCTGGCCTGAGTATTAAAGACCAGGTGTCAAAAGACCATGACTCCGCCCCCTTTGTCTCCAATGCCTGATGCCCTGCTTGCCACCTACTTAGTGACGCATGAATGTCAAAGATAAAATAAAAATGTGCATTAAAGAAGCTTTCTAAAAAGCCCATGCACCAGGCAGACTATAAAATAATAGCCTCAGCTAGCAGCATTTATTACTACTGAAACAGGCTAAGGCAAGTATGCAACCAGATTTGAGGTACAAGGCAGAACACAGTGTCACTAGAATGAATTACAAGTGGAATGAGAGGGGAGTAAGTCTGGGGCCATTCAGGGAAACTTCGCATTCCATCCTATCGGATTCGGACTGCACTTTAAATACTACAGGGAATCATTAAGGTCTCTTGTCCCATGAACTTGGCTAAGTAGGGCAAATGAGTGGTCAGGATGGGGAGAGCTGGGTGTAGACAAGCATGGGATTGAGATGCTTGAGGCATCTGGCCTCACCTTTGCACTGCGCTTCGAAGGCCCATTTTCCGGGGCTGTGGAGCAGGGCAGGAGGACACAGAAAGAGGGGAATGCTCACCCTTATGGAGAGGAAAACCTGCCACAGAACAGAATAGTGTTGGCTGCATTGTGCCTAATGAAGAAAAGGAAGGGGTGGTCGGCGCAGAACGTGGGGCCAGAATCCATGCAACACTCCACAACCAAGATAGTTGATGCGGCCGCGGCCTCCGTGCCTTCCTCGTTCACCTCCACAAAACTCTTGTGCACAAACTTGGACAGACACAGATCTCTCTCGCCTGACATTGCCGAAAAGTCAGCCTCGTCCTCCCGAAAGGCATCAACCATTCCCAGACCCCGGAGCACAGATTCCATGTCATAATCCTCTTCCAGCTGAAATCTCGGAAGGAAAACTTCCACTTCGGTGCTCTGCATACGGTCTGGCTTGGTCCAAGCTCTGAATTTCTCCAAAGTGAGATTTTTTTCCACCTGAAGGACCAGAATTAAGACTTTAAAATTCATACTTCCGTACATAAGGCCACGCACACCCACGTACCCTTCCTTCTCTCGGAGATGGGTGGTGATTGTCCCATGGGACCAGGGGCACCTTTCTGCGCCAAGAAATCCGTGAGATCTCAGACTTGTGCTATTCCAACCACGCTCCCTTGCCAAGCAGGCGGCACGTGAGGCAGCCCCGAGGCATACAACGAGCGGCTGGTCCTCTCCTTACCCAACAGTATCTACGACACATCTTTCATCCTGACAACGCTCAATGCCCAGCTGACTGTGATTTTCTTTTTAACTGTGCTTATTTTTTGAAGATGAGGCATTGCTGGTAAGAAAAACGATTGGAAAAGAAAGGGCTCTTGCTGGAGCAATTTGCCAGAGGTGCAATCCTGTGTACCTTCTGAAGAAGAGACGGCAGGTGGCAAGGACACACAGAGAGCCTCTGGCTGCAGCTCGGCTCACACAGGCCCCTTAGGACACTGGGAGTGCTGTGTGCCCCTCAGCGCCTGGGCCTAGAAGCTCCTGGGCCATGGATGACTCTCACACTAGGGATGCATGCTGAAAGGAAGCAAAGTGAGTTGGGAGTGCCGTCTGGAGCTCTTTCTGGCTCTGCTCTCCTGAGTTTTGGGTTCTTGATATTTAAAATATAATGCAGGCGTGCCCGGGCAGCTCCGCTGGTTAAGTGTCTGCCTTCAGCTGGGTCATGAGCCCGCGCTGGACTCCCTGCTCATCAGGGAGTCTGCTTCTCCTCTCCCTCTGCCTCTGCCTCTGCCCTACCCCCACTGTTCATGCGCAATCACTCTCCCCCCCCCAATTAAATAAATTCTTTAAAAAAATAAAGAAATAAAATATAATGCTAACAACGATTATGATAATAATAACGGATCATATTTATTCAGGGCTTATTATGTACCAGACAATGTGCTAAGCTTGTTACTCGAACCACCCCCATTTTATCCTCATGGTAACTCTCAGGCAGATGTTATCACCATCCCTGTTTTCCAGGTGGGAAAACAGAGTTAAGGAATTTGGCGAGATCACATAGATAATAATGGGAGAAGTAGGTCCTGAGTGACAGTTTGGTTCCAAAGCACGAGAGCCTGAATACTGTGCTCTGTTTCCTGGTTGCCCACATCACTGACTCAAAAGGTAAACATAAATGTTCAAAGTGGTGCTTGAGTTCCAGCAAGAAGGACGCAAAGGGCGCCCTGGGGTTCTCACCAAGCTTAGATCCACGTTGTCGTCCGGGAGCAGAATGACCATGCTCAGCTCCTCACCCTCGTAGGGCAGCTCCAGGACCTGGGTCTGCACCTCTTTAATATAGGTAAGCTTAAACGTAGCTTCCTGAAACATCATCTGCACCGGCTTTTGCTCCTTCTGACGGGAAGAAACAGATGAGCACGGAATTAAAAACAGATTATTGTAAGAGGCAATAAAAATTTCCAAAAGAGCTATAATTGGCTCCAGGAGTGTTTTCAGCACCCATGATGGAAACGATATTCGTGTGCTAGTTCCAACTCTTTCCTATCATCGATACGAGGCATCTGTGGTAAACAGATACGGCGCTAGCCTAGGAAAGGAGATGTTTTATTCAGCAAAATAAACGTGATACTCTGCATTTCCCACAGGAGGAAATCAGATTTTCCTCATGTAAAATATGCCTGGCAAATATATCTAAGGGAACAATATAATCAAATATAATGAAATAGAAAATTATTTCTATTTAACTGGAAAAAGTTTTTATGATAAAGAAGAAGAGACTGGGCCGCCTGGGTGGCTCAGTTGGTTAAGCGACTGCCTTCGGCTCAGGTCATGATCCTGGAGTCCCAGGATCGAGTCCCTCATCGGGCTCCCTGCTCGGCGGGGAGTCTGCTTCTCCCTCTGACCCTCCTCCCTCTCATGCTCTCTGTCTCTCATTCTCTCTCTCTCAAATAAATAAAATAAAATCTTTAAAAAAAAAAATACAAAAAAAAAAAAAAAGAAGAGACTGAAGAGTTTCACAGCAGTGTGACTAGTGGTGTAAAGAGCCCCTCAGGAAGCAGTCTGCCAGCAAGTAGAAAGAATTACATATCTCCTCCTGTATTCAAATGCAGTTGTTTCAGTTCTGATACTCTAATCCAAGGAAATAGTTTTCTAAAAACACAGAAGAGGTATATGCATGCAGAAGTTAATTGGACTACTATACTCATTAAAGTTTTAAAAGCTGATATGGATCAGCTATTCTAAAAATTAGAATTCTAAAATCATAGCTAAAAAAGTTCTCCTCCTTCCACTTTTGTAACTAGAGGGCTGATTATGTAAAGTACACCTTATGCCCCACCCCCCAAAAAAAGGTTCTACCTGTACAGTACAAGTTTCCTAATTGCATTAAAATGGTATTTTTTTTTTTAGGGGCTGGGAGATTTGGCAAGCTATTTTAATGCCTGCCTGAATTGAAGTTATACCTCAATATCAAGACTAACATCTTTGTCAGTTAGTTTTAATATTAGAAACTTATAAATACTAGATTAATAATGATTAACAATAATTCAAGTCTATACTTATTTTTTCAAGTATCTGATTAAAGAAATATTCACTCCTTCTATCCACTTGCCCAACACATACACATATCTCACTTCCTTAACACGTTTTTTGCTTTCTGTTAAGCAACTTAAGCTTAGAGGAAAAGTCTTAAGTTTCCAGAACTAGGTGGCAGCAATGAATGTAGGAGAAATTATCAGAGGCAGTAGGAATAGTAATAAAATGCAAAAAATCAGAGGCAGCAAATTATTTTTATTTCTCAGTTCTTTTCTCCTGAGTTTAAAACTTCATTCAAAAATGCGTTAAGTTTCAAAATTATTTCTAACCAATCATTTATGCTTTTACAAAGTTAACTTTTTCCATTCAATTTCTTCATGAAACTAGAAGGATTTTTGAAAGCTTCTCTCACCTGGTTTATTTTAAAAGGCATTTCCCTTGTGTACATTTTGTTGAACTGTTCATTCCACCTTCCTTTGAAGTAGATGGCATTGACAAGAACCAGCCTGGTGTTTGCATTGATTGAGTTACTTGGCAGTAAATCTCGAATTTTACCTTCCAGGAAAAGTAGAGAATATATTAAGTTGTTTTCATAGAAGTGTGATGAATAAATCGTAATAAGGCTATTGACAGATCCTCAGTTATTAATCAAGAACCAAACATTCTTTTCTTTTCCAAATTTGGTGAGTTTGGATTGCTATATGCAGAAATAGAAAAAAAACAACACATACAAGTGGTTTTCATGGTCAGGTCATAAATGCTGTGGGAACACCCACAAAGTCCATGACGGTGAAAGGTTTCTAAATCACTCAGAGAAACACTACACTAGGTCGGACAGCAAGGCAAGCGGGAAACGAGAGACGGGCTGGGAGGGACTTAGGTTCTCTCAAGTGCTAAAACGGAGTGTTTGGTTTAATGCACCAAAGGTACAATGAGTGCTAACATTCCACAACTATGTCCACATGTCAGAGGCAGCCAGAATGAATGACTCAACGGGGATATAGTTGACAATGGGTAGCATGGATGCACTGAGGAGTTTCTGGAAGCATCTGGAAGAGATTTCACTATTTGATCCTCTAAACAAAATACCAGACATTCCTGGAAAAGGTAAGGTGGGCAAGTGAAAGATACTCCCTTCTTCCCTAGATATCAAGTTGTACCTTTCTAATGAACTAAGAGCATCCCTGCTAATTCCCTGCCTCCAGATGGCATAAGTAGCAAATATTACAAGAAGAAATGGTAGCAATAACCGCTAACTCTCTAAGGAGAGACAACCTCTTGTTCTCTATTGTCTGATTTATTGATAGAAATAGGAGTGTTCCTAGTGGTACTAAGTAGAGTTGGTGCAAAAGGTCCTGAATGGTTCGAACATCGTTGATCATGCGGGTCAAGATCAGAACACACCACTCTGTAAAACAGAAACGAGTAAGGCTCAATACCAAACAAAGGATGATTTCAGTCTAGAGAACTGATCAGCCGTGAGAGAGCATCTGCAGTTGGCCTACCAAATCTAGGCTTATCAAACCTAATTAAGGGAGTGTACGTGGAAGACATGAAAGAAGCAGCAGAATAAGTAAGCTTAATGTATAGGGTGAAGGTGGTGGTATGTGAGGTCCACAGAGAATTTCGAAGCCCAAGCGTATGTCTCAGAGAAGATCTGACCGATAGCCTCCTTCCTACGGAGGTGATGAATTCCCCCAACATGTGAATGTTACAGGCCAAGTGAAAGTATGTTTCAGTGTACCTTATTAAACTGGAAATCCAGCCTATGACTTTCTTTGGATATTTGTATCAGTCTTTCTTGTCCCAGGAGAATGGACAAAATTAAGTCTCTGTGGTTGAAAACCTGAGCATCTGATCAGAACCCTGTGAGTCCATTAAGTTTCAAATACGCCAAGAAGCCCAGCCCATCAGCAGGCCTCTGACCATCTGAAACACTCGTCAAATCAGAGCATCAGGAAAAGCAAGGGGAGGAAGAGGGAGCGGAGGAGAACCAGGGGAAAGATGAGAAGGCAGAGGGAGAAGGAAAAAGAAGGGGGTAATAACATGTAATTCTGACCTTCAGTCTTTTTTGAGACCCAAGTGTTGATGTGCTCCCTGCACTGCTCTGCATCATTGGCAAAGGAAAGCTGCTCCAGCTCAGCGTGGTAGAACCGAAGACAGGATTCCTTAAAGGCCTTTGAGGGAAAAAGGTTCAAATATGGCTATATTCCTAAATAAAGTTCAGGTTCCAAGAAAATTGGAATCTTACATACGTTTTATTAAAACGAGTATACATTTCTTAAAAGTGGTCATATCTCAGTCTACTAGGTACTAAAATATCAGAGTTTATAAATAGGTAAGTACTAAGCCCCAAATAACCAGAAATGGATAAGTGAATTTTAGAAGTAATCAATTTTTAAATAATTCAAGGCACAGTTATAGCATTATGATTTTTTAAAAAAATGTTTACCATAATTTTCAGTTCTCCAAGATCTTTCTTTCAGACTCCGTATTTTGATTACAACTTTTATTGTTCTGCTGACTCAACTTACCGAGAGGAATTCACAAGTCTTTTCTCCAAAGAGCCTGCTGGCCATTCTGAGCAAGTACTGGGTGCCAGGTTTGTTCACTTCAGCAAGAAGTGACTGGAAACTCTGATGAATGTCTTTCTCTGTGCTTAATGAAAGCACCTGTTGAGAAAAATAATTTTAAAATTTATCAAGATTGTTCTTTGCGGGGCAGCTGGGTGGCTCAGCCAGTTAAGCGTCTGACACTTGATTTCAGCTCAGGTCATGATCTCAGGGTTATGAGATCAAGTCCTGAGTCAGGCTCTGCACTCAGTGTGGAGTCTGCTTCAGATTCTCTCTCCCTCTCTTTGCTTCCCCCCTCCCCACCAGCTGCTCGCACACTCTCTCTCAAAAAAAAAAGATTGTCTCAAAAAATCTGTAAGCAAAATTCTTTCTTAAATACTCTACAAATTTTTGCTTTAAAGTATACTGGTTTCTCTTTTTAAAAAACGGATATTACATTCATTTTAATCGCAGATTTAATACATACTAGAGCAGCACTATGTGGGGTAAGGAGAAGATACAGAGAGAAAAGGACAGAGAGGAGAGGGGGAGGGAGAGAACAGAAAACAGGGGAGTAAGACAAAATGGATGAAAGACCTAAATGTGAGACAGAAATCCAATAAAATCCTAGAGAACACAGGCAGCAACCTCTATGACCTTGGCCGCAGCAACTTCTTGCTAGACACGTCTCCGAAGGCAAGGGAAACAAAAGCAAAAATGAACTATTGGGACTTCATCAAGATAAAAAGCTTTTGCACAGCAAAGGAAATAATCAACAAAACTAAAAGCCAACCGACAGAATGGGAGAAGATATTCGCAAATGACGTTATCAGATAAAGGGCTAGTATCCAAAACCTGTAAAGAACTTACCAAATTCAACACCCAAAAAACAAATAATCCGGTCAAGAAATGGGCAGAAGACATAACAGACATCTCCAAAGAAGACATGCAAATGGCCAACAGACACATGAAAAAGTGCTCAACAGCACTCAGCATCAGGGAAATCCAAATCAAAATCTCAATGAGATACCACCTCACACCAGTCAGAATGGCTAAAATTAACAAGTCAGGAAATGACAGATGTTGGCAAGAATGTGGAGAAAGGGGAAGCCGCCTATACTGTTGGTGGGAATGCAAGCTGGTGCAGCCACTCTGGAAAACAGTATGGAGCTTCCTCAAAAAGTTGAAAATAGAGCTACCATACGACCCAGCAATTGCACTACTGGGTATTTACCCCAAAGATATAAATGTAGTGAAAAGAAGGGGCACCCACACCCCAATGTTCATAGCAGCAATGTCCACAATAGCCAAAATATGGAAAGAGCCCAGATGTCCATCAACAGATGAATGGATAAAGAAGATGTGATATATATATATCACAATGTGTGTGTACACACACACACACACAATGGAGTATTACTTAGCCATCAAAAAGAATGAAATCTTTCCATTTGCAATGACCTGGATGGAACTAGAGGGCATTATGCTAAGTGAAATAAATCAGACAGAGAAAAACAAATACCATATGATTTCACTCATATGTGGAATTTAAGAAACAAAACAGATGAATATAGGGGAAGGAAAGAAAAAATAAAATAAAAACAGAGAGAGAAGCAAACCATAAAACACTCTTAAGTACAGGGAACAAACAGGGTTGCTGGACGGAGGGTGGGTGGGGGGATAAGGTAACTGAGTGATGGGCATTAAGGAGGGCACTTGAGGGAATGAGCACTGGGTGTTATATGCAACCGATACTAAATTCTACCCCTGAAACTAATAATACACTATATGTTAACTAAATTGAATTTAAATTAAAAATTTAAAAATTAAAAAAAACAGGGGAGTAAGAATTGGCTTTTCTACCTAAATAGATATCTATTGTTTATAGATAAGTAATAGGAAGGGGCACCTGGGTGGTACAGTCCGTTGAGCATCCAACTATTGGTTTTGGCTCAGGTCATGATCTCAGGGTCATGGGATCGAGCCCTGCATCGGGCTCTGTGCTTTGTGGGGAGTCTGCTTGGGAGTCTCTCTCCCTCTCCCTCTGCCCCTCCTGCTCGTGCTTGCTCTCTCTCTCTCAAACGAATAAGTAAATCTTTAAGAAAAAAAAAAAGGTAAGTAATAGGAAAGAATGACAAGGATAAGAGGGGTTCAGAAAAGGGGGCTATTACAAAATCTTGCATCCCAAGGAAAACGTAAGTATGAAATACACCCTATATAAAGTAAAATTTGCTTCTAAGATTTACAAGGAAAAAAGAACAACACATACAGTTAAAAGCATGAAAAGTTCATGGAGAAATGGGCAGAAATACAACCAGTGGGGAAAAACATCACTTTCAGTCTCCGCCAGTGCACACAGAATCCGAAAGCTAGTTCTTTGAAAGAAGTGCCCTGAGTGCTAGGAGTAGCAATGTGTATTTAGCATATTCAGTGCCATTGCCATCCAGTTGAGCACAGGAGGATAAGGAATTTCAATGTCTCTGAATACAAAGTAACCAGACAATCTTCAGGTTCTCAAAAAAAGCTCCTAGAGGGTTCATCAGTTAGCCTAAAACACAGAAAAGTTCAGTAAGCCCAAAGAAGCCCCCTTCTACACGGAAACACCCAGTCCTTCCTACCACAAGCTGAAAAATGATTAACATTGAGTAGTCACCCCAGAAAGGGCTCTCAAGGGAAAAGAAAGTTATATCAAAACAAAGAGCCACACTGACTAACACACCGATAGTGAAGATGTGTGTGGGGGCATGAGGTAAGCTTTCAGGTTTCATCTCGGGCACATGTCCCCTACCTACTCTATAAAACCCCTTCAGGACAGGGATGGAGTCTTAGTCATTTTCAGATGTTTGCTGAATGTTTGTTAAACTAACTAGTCCACATGCCGTCTGTATATGTAATAAAGACGTGCTTTTTTACCCACATTGCATATTTTTGTCCATCCCCTTACTGAGCTAGGAAGGCATGTTGGTGTATTAATGACCTGAAATAGATATGAACCTCCCCTTCCTTACTAAAGAATAATTATAGCTATGAAGTCTTATACTCCAAAAATGAGAGCTCTTAGCTGCTTAGAGTTCCAAATAATTTCAGTATCATTACCTAAACAAAGATAAAGTGCTAGGATAAGATTCTGATAGTCTTATCCACATTATTAATAAGGGAACTTGCCCCCAAAAATATCTCAGGGAAGGAGACTCCCAGCCTTGTCCTTTGTGTCTTGGTCCCCAGGCAGCCCCACCTGCCAGAAGTAAGCACAGGTGTGTCCACACTGGGCACCCCTCCCACCCTGCTTTACGGCAGTTCTGGAGCCTCAGGTACGAAGCTGGGTGATGGGACATAATAACCAAAAGGCAGTCCCTTCTGCTGGGTGACAAGCAGGTTTACCTGGGCCATCTGGGCAGCAGTGTTTCCTTTTGCCCCCAGGAAGACCATGGCCAGGGCTGAGGAGATGCTCACAGGAGAATAGAACACGTTGTGTGAAGGGTTGTCTTGACACAGTATCTTTAAAAGCTGGAGGGCAAAGGTGCCATTTGCTTCAGAAAGAGCGTCCATGATGCAGGGTCTGGAACCAGAGCATAAAGACAGATAAAGAGAGAGTTTGCTTCAACAGCCCCCACCCCCCCACCCCGAACATTACTGACCTCACATATGGCAGTTTGGGAATTGTACGGGGTTTTGTTTTTGTTTTTTTTAATAATAAAGCTCATAAATATTTTAAGTTGAAGGCAAACCCATTTACTATTGCTCTCCATCCAAACAGTAAGTCCAAATATTAAGATAATTAGCTAAGTGTGGTACTGGCAGAAGATAAAACCAGCTTGAGAGCCTTGGGGCAAATGAAGAGCACCAGCTCCTGGGCACAGACGCACAGCACTCAGCCTCCGGGTTTCAGGGAAGTCCAATCTTCTCCACAATACTTTCTTTTTCCATACATTTATGGAGAGAACTTCTGAGAGTTTCAGTTATGCAACAGACCACAGTCTCCCCATCTATTAGCCGATTCTTTTTTTTTAAAGATTTTATTTATTTATTTGAGACAGAGAGAATGAGAGAGACAGAGAGCACATGAGAGGGGGGAGGGTCAGAGGGAGAAGCAGGCTCCCTGCCGAGCAGGGAGCCCGATGCGGGACTCGATCCCGGGACTCCAGGATCATGACCTGAGCCGAAGGCAGTCGCTTAACCAACTGAGCCACCGAGGCGCCCTATTAGCCGATTCTTGAGAAATGTTTGAGATGCTGGTAAGCGAAGAGAGACAGGCTACAGTTGGGTTGGAACTGGCTGTGAGGCCAGGACCTTTCATCTACAGTGAATGGAGAGCCAATGTGCTCTCCTGCTGGGCAGCCCATGGCCAATTAACACCCAACTCAGAGTGCAGGACCATTGCTAGGGGCTAGGCATCACGTGACCTTCGGACCTTGGCACTGAGGGTGAGGAGTCTGGGCGTTTTTGTTTCACAATTTTTTTTTGCTAACTCAGAAACACTGATTTGGGAGTTTTACCCGTTAGTCTCAGAAAAAGCCACTACAGTGGACTGTGCATGAGAGGGCGAAGAGCAGCCCTGGTGGAACACCAGAATGGAGAGGTAAGGTGGAACAGAGAAGGGTCCAAGAGAGCAAAACCACTGAGAATGGGGAGGCCAGTAATCCTGGTAGCTACAGAGGTCAGAAGCCTAAGTGTGAGTGGGCAGGTCTGCTGACCACACACCGCTCCCATCCCCCAGCCCACATTTCTCCAGGGAATTAGCTAAGGGTGGAAATGAGACCCTCACTCACCCAACGCTGGCCTCACACCCTGGGAGACCTCCCTGACTCCTCCCACCCACCGCTCCTCACCCCCTCAAGCCCATCACCAAGGTTTGCCCTCTGCTGCCTACATGGCTCTTGAACCAGTCTACTTCTCTTGAGCCTGCACCCTAGTCTATACCACCTGATCCCTCTCCCCGCGGGCAGAGCCACCCCCCACCCAGTACACTCCATTCTGACAGGAAAGAGGACCCTTTCAGCCCTCCTCTTAAACCTCAAAGGGCCCTTAGGATAAGCCCGAGGCTCACTTCATTTAAATGGCTTATGCCCCACCCGTCCGCCTCCTCTGCATCCAGCCTCGGCCTCTGGCCATCCTGACCGCCTTTCATTCCCTCCAAGTCACCCCTGGGCCTTTGAAAACACCGTATCCAACTCCGCGCCCCCTACACTGATTAACGGCACTGACGCCACCACCGCCTGCCGGGCGTGGTGGGCCCGCAAGAGAGCTCAGGAAACGGGAAGGACTCCATGAATTTGTGTGGAAGGCCTGCAAGAACTAGGGTGGGTAAGAAGTGCTTGGATTTGCAGCTGCAGACTGGTGATTTTAGCAGGAAAGAGGACAGGTAGGGAGATGTCGTTCCGCGGATCCCTAGGAGAGAGAGGAGGTGAGGAAGCAGGGCCGGTGCGAATGCGGCTGGAGGGCGGCGAGCCTGCTGGGAGGAGGCGCGCGAGGGGCGGAGAGAAGACCCTCGGGGAGCGCCAGCGGCTGGGGCTCGCTGGCATCGGGAGGCACGGGCGCCACCCAGCAGCTGCGCCACCGAGCCCACCGAGCCGCTGCGCCACCGAGCAGCTGCGCCACCAAACAGCTGCGCCACCGAGCCCACCGAGCCGCTGCGCCACCGAGCAGCTGCGAAGTGAAGGGCTCTCTTTCTGTCAGCAGGGAGAGGGCCAAGTCGGCTCGGTTTCGCTCGCGTCCTCGCGTGCTCGCGTGCTCGCGTCCTGTCTCCAGGCCGGAGCGCGGGGGTTCTCCTCGTCCGCCATCCCCGCCCTGCCCCGGAACGCCCCCACTTGCCCCCTCCGGCACCGCGCCGCTCCTCCCTCCGGACCCGGATCCCGACGACTCCAGGCCGAGCTCCGCAGCCGCGCCGCGGGTGCCCACTCGGGTGACTGGCACCCGCAGGACTCCGCCAGCCCCCAGGGCCCGAGACCACTCCTAGGTTTCCCGCCAGGGCGGGGGCGGTGCCTGGGCGGTGCCTGGGGGCGGGGCTCGGCGAGAGGCGGGGGCTCGCGAGCGGCAGGGCTGGGGGCCGGGGTCGCCGACGCCTCCAGGCCCCCCGGCCCCGCCGCGTGAGTGGGACCCTGCAACCTAAAGGGCTGGCGGCGCCCGCGGTCCGCCAGAGGCCTCCGCTCTTCTCCCTCCTCCTCTGCTCCTCCCCCCGCCCATGCTCTCTCTCTCCGTCTGCTCTCTCTCAAAAAAAAAAAAAAAAAAATCTTGTTTTAAAAGAAAAAGTATACAATTCAGTGATTTTTAGTCTGTTCACAAAGTTGTACAACTGTCACCACGATCTAACTCCAGAACATTGTTATCACCTCAAAAAGAAACACCGTGCCCATTAGCACTTTCTATTCCCTCCTCCTCCGGCCCCTCCACCCCCACCCCGGCAACCATGAAGCCATTGCCTAGGTTCGCCTACTGTGGACATTTCCCGTAGATAGAATCATATATAATAGTCTTTTGTGACTGCCTCCTTTCACTTAGCAGAGTGTTCTCAAGGTTGATCTTTGCTGGTTCAAGGTGACAATTATCTGTACTTCATTTCTTCTTATGACTGATAATATACTAATATAAAGTGTGTACACATATATATCCATTTTGATTATTCATTCATCAATTGGTAGACAATTGGCTGTTTCCCTCTTTTGTCTGTTATGAATAATGCTACTATGAACATTCACATATAAAATTTTGTGTAGACATATATTTTCACTTCTCTTGAGTCTATACCTGGAGTGGAATTGTTAAATCATATAACAAGTCTATATTTAACTTTCAGAGGAAATGTCAAAATATTTTTCAAAGCAGCGACACAATTTTACCACCGTCATTGTATGTGGGTTTCAATTTCTTGACATCTGTCTTTTTTAATTTTAGCCGTCAGAGTGAATGTGAAGTGGTATCTCATTATGGCTTAGAGTTGTATTTCCATACTGATTAATGATGTTGAGCACCTTTTATCTTTTTCATGTGCTTACTGGCTCTTTGTCTATCTTCTTCAGAGAAAAATCAATTCAAATACTTTGCTCATTTTCAAATTAGGTTATTTGTCTTTTTATTGTTGAGTTTTAACACTGTAAGTTTTTATTCACTTCATTATCATACTGCATAATCAAACTACTCAAAACCAGTGATAAAAAGAAAATCTTAAAAGTGATCAAAGAAAAGAGGTACAGAAAAACAGAGATAAAGAGGATATCAGATTTTTCTTTAGCAACAATGCAAGCAAGAATACAGTGGAGAAACATTTTTCAAATACTGCAAGAAAAAAGAGAAACCATCAACCAAGAACTCTGATCTTTCAAAAATATTTTTCAAAAATGAAGGTGAAATAAAGGCTTTTTCAGACTGACAAAACCCAAATGTTTTCATCACCCACCAACCTTGCACTTCAAGAAGTGTTGAAGTAATTCCTTCAGGTAGGCAGACTAAAGATGACAAAGAAATAAGGATCTGCCCAAAGGAAGAAGAGCACTGGAAATGAGAACTATCAGGTAAATATATATAAAACTCTTTTTCTTATTTCTTAAATGTCTTTAAAGGATAACTGCTTTAATAAAAATAGTAATAATGTATCATGGGGTTCATAACACATAGGAAAACAACAGCACAAAAGACAGCAGAGTCCAATTCTAAAAGTTATGGGGAAATGCAAAGTACTCCAAAACAATTTAGCCAAACAATTCTGGCTGGTTTCAGATCATACCAGGGAAGCTCCCGGGGGGGAGCCAAAACAATTCTGAAAAATAAGAATAAAACTGGAGGACTAACATTACCTCAAAACTTATTATTAAGCTACAATAATGAAGATGCTGTAGTATTAACATCAAGAAAGACATTAGATCAGTGGAATCAAATATAGTCCAAAAATAGAGCCATATGTATATGATCAATTGATTTTTGAAAGAGGTGCAAATACAGATCAGTGGAGAAAGGATGGTTTTGCAACAGATGCAAAATGAGCTCAAAATGGATCATAGGCCAAAATGTAAAATATTAGGGTATAATATTTCTTGAAGAAACTTAAGAGATAATCCCTGTGACCTTAGCTTCAACAAAGAGTTATTAGATAAAAAGCACAATACATAAACAAAAAAAAAAAGTTGAATAAACTGGACTTCATTAAACTTAAGAACTCCTCTTTGAAAGGCACTGTTATCAAAATGAAAACTCAAGCCACAAGCTGGATGAAAATATTTGCAAATCATGTATCTGATTAAGGACTTGGTATCTATAAGAACTCTCAAAATGCAATAAACAAATGCCTTTCCAGTCCTGTGGGTTAAATTTTTTTTTCCAAATCCATTTTAGAAAGCAGAGCCCCTGAAATGGATGTGGTCTAACAGGGAACATAGTCTATCTTGGTATATTTTAATAAGAGCTGCAATGTAAATGATAAATGGCTCAGGTAAGAGGCTGATGAACTGTGAATCCAAATTTGAACCAGGAGCAACCATGCTTCAGTCCAAGTCAAAGAATAAGTCAGTGGTACCGTGAGCAGAAGTGTAAATCAGTACTTTTTGGAGACCAGTTTGGAAGAAGCCTCAAAAAGTGCCCAACTTTTGTCTCAACAGTACTATTTTTAAGAAGATTTCCTTTAGAATATTAAGGATGTGAGCAAATAATTAGGATATTCAAAACAATGCAGTATATAATATAAATAATTTTAATTACCCAAATTGTCTATGAGTAAACAGATCACAAGAAATATGGACAATCCCACAATGGAATTGTATGCATATCAACACTGACTATGTGGAAAGGTAATCACCTAGAAGAGGGTTTATAGTAAGGAGGGGCTACAAAAGTCTATGACTAACTTGTGGGAACAGATGATTGTAGGTTTATATTTGCATATAGATGTTGGTTCAAAACCCCCCTGGGAGCTTCCCTGGTATGATCTGAAACCAGCCTCATGCTCAGAGATTGGAGAGAGACTGAAGAAAGAGGCAGGCCACCCTAGCTTGGTAGGTGGCAGTTTTATTAAGCAAAGGGAACTTACATACAAGGCTTGTCTTGGGCGGCAGCAAGATGAATGGATCCCCACAGCCACCCATCAGATCTTCAAAAGTTTACAAAGAGGCCTTAACTGGGCTCAGTCACATATACCACGCAGGTGTTTTCCACACCACGTCAGTATCTCAAGACTGTGTCCTTGGAGTGGCCTCTGGGAGTGGCAAAGGCAAGCGAAGCCCACATTCCAAGGACGGGGGGAGGCTGTTGAGCCTCCAAGTGCCAGTGTCCAGCTCGTGATCTTCCCCAACAGCATAGACTAGGGAAGGAGATACATATACGTATATCTCCCCATCAACAGCAGTGATCGCTAGGTGTGGATCTGCGGACAACTTAAATTGTCTTCGTATTTTCTAGTTTCTAAATTTCTGCCACAACACATACTCATTTGTAATCAAAAAAGGTATTAACGTAGGGAGATCCTTTCTTAAGCAAGGGAGATGCTTGAGCTACATGTGGGATTACACAGGCCATGGCTCCCAGGAGTTGGTGAGTTTGTGAGGGTTTCTTTGCGGGCTTTAGGAGAAACAGGCAGAGTTTTGTGTGCATCTCCAGGGGACAGGGATGGAGAGGACTGCGGGCATCCGCTTCAGAGGTCCACTTCCTAGCCTGAAGCTCATTGCTGGAGCTCATTGCTAAGCCCCTGGGCCTGTATCTGGCTTGTTTTCACAAGGGACTCTCTGAGATGTGGAGCATGCAGAGCTCTCTGTGTGACACTGAAGAAGACACTGAGAGACACGGTCTCAGTTGCTGGGGAGACAGACCCTGGGTGGCTGCAGGGCTAACATGTCAAGATCTCTGGAATTGCAAGCCATGGGGCCTGGGCACTGGCATCTCCTGATGAGGTTGGCAGGGGTGGGTGGCAGAGCTCTGAGGTGATCCTAGGACAGAAGAGCAGAGGACTGGCCCATGGGTCCCCGAGATGCTCCAAGGACACCCACAAATAATGAGCACAGCCTGGGAAGGGACCCATCTCAGGTTATATAGGGAGGGCAGAAACACTCAGGGACACCCTAAATACTGCAAAAGAAGCATAGCGTTCTCAGCCCCAAACTTTACACATCTGAAGCCTCAGTTATTCAAGCAGCCCCAGAATGCTCAGAACAAGCATTCACAAATCCGCCCAAGTGCACACATTTTATTTTGCTGTTCAAACCACTGCACTGATTTGGTCACACAAGATTTAAATTAAGGCACGGTAGGCAGAAGCGGAAGGGAGCGCATGGACAGCTACTGTACCTTTTACGTGCCTTCGTCACTGGTCGCCTCTGCAAGGTGTCTCTGCACGACCTTGGATGCACACGTCACATCCAGGAAAGTTGGCCTTGGCTTCCTCAAACTCACCAGTCATTGCAAAACTTTGGAGAAAAGACTGCAAGCCATAACTTTCCAAAACTTGAACTTTCTTTAGTGAGCTTTTCTGGATTTGTCCAGGCTCTGAACTCAGATGTCAGTGCTTTTTCCACATGGAAAAACAGAGTTAAATGGTAAAATCCAGATGACAACAACATGTGCCATGCACACACTTATTATCCCCCACCTGTCTCCCAGCCCCACACCCCCTGTGCAACTACGTGGTAAGTTCTGGTCCAAGACAATGCACAGATATTTTTCTTCTTATAAACACATCAAGACTCTTCCCAAGTTCTCGAGTTTTCCCTGTCCTCGCTAGGACACTAGAGTAAAACAACTGGAAAACAACAGACCAGCAAAGGTTTTCTTTCTTTTTCATTTTTTTTTAAGATTTATTTATTTATTTTAGAGAGAGAGAGAGAAAGAGCATGAGCGGGGGGTGGGGTGGGGGGTGGGGCAGAGGGAGAGAGACTCTCAAACAGACTCCCTGCTGGATGTGGAGCTTGATCCCTCGACCTTGAAATCATGACCTGTGCCAAAATCAAGAGTCAGATGCTTCACCGACTGAGCCACCCAGGTGCCCCCAGCAGAGGTTTTCAAAAAGAACTATTTT